TGCCAGGCGGTGCGTGCGGTGCGCTGCCGGGCTGCTATGCGGCGCTGCTGGGCGGTGCGTGCGGTGCGCTGCCGGGCTGCTATGCGGCGCTGCTGGGTGGTGCGTGCTGCTGGACGGCCCGCTGTGCGTGCTGCTGCCTATGACTGCGCCGCAGTGCGCTGCCGGGTGGTGTGTCCATAACAGTGCAGCCTCAGTTACAAAGGTTGAATTACAATTTAGCCCACCATGACAGGTTTCTATACACCCCTTGCTTAGCTAACAAGTCAGCCATTCAATTTGCCAATCTCCCAGCTAACTATCAGTTTAGAGTCCCCTTCAATTAGTAGCTTGTCATAATTCAGTTCTCTAGCTAACTGTGCTCCTTGCAGAACTGCCTGAAAATCAGCATGAACTGAATCCCCTGCTCCATCCAGACCTGAGAACAAAGCAAGAACGCGGCTCTTGGCATTCTTGAACACTCCCCCAATTCCTGAAGACCCTGGATTGCCTAAGCTGTTGCCATCGAAGTTTAGTTTTATGAATCCTTCTCCAGGAGGCATCCAAACTACATTAGGCCTTTCCTTAGCGTTAGAACTTTAGCTACCAGCTCCGAATTCCACCTAATGTTGTCAAAAGAACAGTTTGGGAAGATATCCAAAGCTCTAGCCCAATATATAGCTATATTTATTAGGCACTTCCATACAACATCCTCCCCTCTTGTCATTGAAAATTCCAGCATTCCTCTCCTCCCAAACTGTCCAAACCAATGCAGCCCTCACACACAGAGCCTTACCCCTCCTTGAAGGCAATCTAAAGGTTGCTAGGTCAAATAGGCTACACACCTACGAGGTAAAAGCCATAAAACCAAACAGAATAAACATCCTTTCCCAAAGGCCTACAACAAAGGGACATGAGATAAATAAGAGATTAACAACTTTCCCCATGAGTGTTACAGGGGGAACACCAGTTCGGGGAAATGTAGAAAGAAGGTCTTCTTTTTTGTAGATTGTCCAAAGTATTTAATTTCTCTAGAAAAACTTCCCAGCAAAGGGCTCCAACCTTGAGAGGGATGGATTTGGACCAAATTTCTTTAAATGGAAAAGGCTGAGAGGTCGGGACAGAGCATGTGAGAAAATAAAGAAGAACAGGATTTATCAAAAAAATAAAGAACAGGAAAACAAACCTTTAGACTTTAGTGTGAGTCCTAACCCAACAGTCTGGTTTTGAAGGATCCAAAAACGAATTATCAAGAGTTTTTAAAAGCAAGGCGACCTGATCAAACTCATGATCTCGCAAGTCTCTTCTCAACCCAAGATTCCAACTAATACTTGTTGACTCAGAGAAAGAAGCAAAACTTTGGCCTAATATTATGGGGGCCTTGGAAGGAGTACAAAGAGCTAAGGAGTTGAACATTATAAAACTGGTAATAGAAAGAGATCCCAAGTTGGTGGTGGGCTGATGGAAAGAAGAAATAACTAGTTTCTGTAACTACAGTAATGAAAAGAGGAAACTTAAGTGGCTGGAAAAGGATACTGAAGTAAAACTAAATTGGGTAAAAAGAAGTGCCAACTCCTTTGCTGATGATGGGTTAGCTAAACAAGGAGTGAATATGGGTTCTTTGTTCCATTTCCTATCAAAAACAAATATATGGGTTCTTTGTTTTGGGCTCAATGTAACTTTGTTTTCTGGTTAAGACTTAGGAGAGCTTATATCCTCCCTTTTCTATACTTAAATCTTATTGTTTTAATGAAAGACCTCTTATTGATCAAAAAAAAAAAAAAAGAAGAAGAAGAAGAAGAAACAAAACTATTTTTTTTTTGATAAATGAAGAAGAAACAAAACTTTGGATGGGTTCATTTTTAAACAAAGACAGGGCACAAGGAAGGAAAAAGGCCCTTAAGGGTAGAGTTACCAATCCAAATGTCCTCCCAAAACTGAAACCCTACCCCACTCTTCCACTCTCATGATTTAGCTAACCCATCAGCAATTGCTCTCTATTGTAATAAACTTTTCTAGTTACAAATCAGAAGAAAAATAATTCCCTATAAGAGCTCACGTTGAATATGAGTTTATAGGCTTTCTGTTCCACATCTTGCACCAAATAGATAAAAACCCAGTTAAATTTCTTTAAGGTCATATTACTCATTTGGTCAAATATCCTTGCTCTGGTATTCCTAGTGTCTATTCATATATCCCACCCTGTTCCCAATTACTTTTTTTTATCAATAAAAAGAAATTTCATTGATGAAAATAGAAATCCCAATTACTTTATTTTCATGCCTTGTTCATTTGCAAGTTATTCTTCTGCTTAAGAAAATCTCCACCTAAGGTTAGTTGAATGAGAAATAGACTAAAGTTAAGAGTCACCAATATGTTTGGGATTATCAATTCAACAAAGCCTTGGCCAACTATATGACATTGGCCTTGTTTATGATCTTTGAACATGAAGAACAGTAATAATAACAAATACATACATATAGGTTAATATAAATAAAAAAATAAAGTTAACAAAGACAAGGGAAAGATCATGGATATCTTATATAAAACTAATGACCAACTCTAAACCTCTGACTAAGCACTAAATTATAGGGAAGAGAAAAAAAATCATGCGGAAGAACGAATCAGCCAGGTCCCAAAAAGTTGACATGTAACCTCAATACAAAAGTCCTTGTAAAAATTTTTAATACCAAAGAAATGAAAAGTCAACTGTGAAATAGATAAAGCACGAGATTATTACTAGCATTTATTGTGTCTTTAGCATTTTTAACAGCCAACTCAAGAAGATCGGGATTTATAGAAGCCAATCCACCAGGCTCCTGGAGTTTTCTTTCAAGAAACTTTGCCAAAGCAGCAGCTTTGTTCGTTTTCAGCGGTCCACCAGGATGAGCCAACCTAAAACGAAAAGCACAATAAGATCAAAACTAGTAGGAGAGAGAGTGAATTGTTTCAAAGCAGTAATGAAGACATCAAATAATAGCCATGCTGCTTAAAGATGCACCAGTTTAAAGTTTCAAATTTTGTATTCTCTGAAACTAACAACCTGCTAAAAAACCAGACCAGCAGCTAAATCAGTTTTTGTGGTGCACAGTTCTTAGAAAGGTTGACTTTGTAAAACTTATCCCAGATAAATGTTTCAGTAGGCATTACAACCTAGAATGTTTATTGTTTAATGCATATGTTGTTTTAAGCTGTTTTTAGAAGCTTCAATCTGGAACCATTTGCTTTTTTTCTAAATTTTATTTTTCACATCTTTTATTTGAGGGATTCAAGTGGTATGTTGCAGTCAACCCGGACAGCTGGACCATTCGACCTATGACATAATGGCCAAAAGAGTTTTATATCCGCTCCATGTCTAACAACAAAAACAGTACAATCTCAATCCTTAACTACAATTTGATTTGATCAATATTTCCACTGTCTTTTGGATTGGATATAATTGATTCTTTCCAGTAAACTATACAAGATTAAACAATAGTCCTTGCAAAATGTTACAAATGTTGACACAGGTTATCATCAAGTAGCTCAAGTATAGCAGTCCAGGGCCATGGAGGTATAGACACGTCTTGAGAGAAGTGAAACAACTAGCAAGGAAACTGAGAACCATTTTCATTTGGATACAAAGATCAGCAAATGGTATGGCAGATACCCTAAGGCAACAGGATGTTAATAGGGATCAATTGTATTAGGGGGCTACTCATTGAGAAGCTGAATGATACACATAGTCCAAGGAAAGGGGTTCTAATGGATTAGGTAGCTGAGCTAGCGTAAACTGAACTGTGAGGTGTTGCATAAGTTGTCCGGCATATATTACCTCTTCTTTTACAAATTAATAAAGATGTTGCTGTGTTAAGATTAAAGAAAAATGTTTTTTTTTTTATAATAAGATTAAAGATTAAAGAAAAATGTTACAAATGTTGAAGAATGAAAAATGCCTGCTCATCCAAGTTAGGAAGGATAAGAGGCTGGTTTGAGGTTCAAAATCATTTGCACCTTATGACCTTTTAGATAATACAATCTTGCTATCCTATGTGTCTGCTCAAAACAGAAAAGATCCTTGAAATATGGTCTGGATTATAAAGTCTGATTATTAGACAGGGTTATCTCCTGTGTGTATCTTAAGCAGCCACTATGTATTTGAATCTCTGTGGGATCGGGTCGAAGAAATCAAACAACTTTTACAAGTTGACCTTTTTGAAATGTACAAATGCAAAACACTTCTTTCTTTCAGTCCCACAACAGGGAACCATGTCTACTGAAACAAAGAAAAACGTGGGGAGAATAAGGTGCTTCAGATCAGAAAAAGTGAAGGGTAGGATAATTTTGAGGAAGCTAACATGAACCATGGGAACTAGTTTTAGCATAAGACTTTTTTTTATCATAACAGAAGATTTTCATTAATAAAAATAAAGGATACAAGGGGAAGAGACAAGCTCTCTTATCTCTTCTAACAGGAATACAAACAAACCAGAAAAGGATTTACAATAGAGACCAAAAGAAAGCACCCCTATTCACCTCTTGTTTAGCTAAGCCATCAGCAAAAGAGTTGGCACTTCTCTTAACCCAAGTCACTTTCACTTCCATGTCCTTTGTCAACCACTTAAAGTTTTTCTTTTCATTGCTGTAAGTCCACAGTCCATTCTTGTCTTCTTTCAACCAGTCCACCACCAGTTTGGAGTTTCGTTTTATAATCAGCTTCCTTATATTTAACTCCTTAGCTCTTTGTACACCTTCCAAAGCCTTCAAGATCTCATCTCTAAGTGAGTCACCTACTCCAACTGGACCTGAGAACAAGGCTATTATTTTCCCTTCCACAGTGGAAGATCATCCAACTTTAACAATAAATATGCTAGCTGTCAAAATATTCTGAAGCAGTCTACAGTCCCACACATGACTACCCAAGGATGAAAGAATATTTTAATTCCCCAGAATATTTGAACTTTTTAACAAGTACGAACCTAAGAATACAGATGGGGAGAGAGAGGCTAATGTAATGACTGATTGTTTAGCAAAGAAAAGGGTAAATAGGGACCGATGGCACTGGGCTCAATTGTAATGTGCTTGCTGTAATGTTTTAATTCTATATTTAGGAAAAGGCAGCAGCCGCACCTCATGCCTCTGCAAAGGATGCTTGTACTGTTTTTTTTTTAAATTGACTTTAAGAAATTATTCACTTACCAATAAAAAGTGCCCAGAATGTTTAAGTTGTTGGGGATCAAATTAAAGGCACTGTAAACTCCGGCAGTCCTGATCCTCCTTTGAGTTAATTTGAATATTAAGAATGAAATATTGTGTTAAATATGTAAAAATGGACCAAGTGTCTAAGTAAAACCCTCTCGACTCTCCGTATTTGTGGAACCAATACATCCCCCTCAGAGTGAGGCATTGAAGCAGTCCATAGTTTCACCGATGCAGGCAGTGTGGGAACTAAGATTAGTGTTTCACAACAATAGTCATCTACGTTATTTGCTTCACCCTTTGCCCGTATTAACTAACAAATAATAGTCAATTTTTCTTTCCATTTATACCTTCGTTTATCTATTTGATAAGTAATAACAATCTTAGTAGAGTCAAAATTGTATCAGCTTAAATGGGGCTTTGGCACAGAATATAATATTTACGACTGTTCCAAACGGAGTTCTGAGTAGCAGTGAAGACCATACGGATACGAAGAGCGAGATCGGACGACAATTTTACATAGATTCAGTCTTAGTAATACGTACTGTTTTATGTTCCTCAGCAGAAACCCTAATCGACCAAATTATAAGAGCACAGAAAACCCTAATAAAAAAAAAAAACGAACCTGGGTTGAATTCGTGAGGGAGGCGGTGGTAATGGCAAAGGCGCAAATTTGCTTCCCCTCAACGCCCGTCGATCCTCGTCTGTAAGACCTTCCAACCCTTTTCCCATTTTCCTTTCTGAACCGAAAGACGCCAATTAGACCCTGATCAAGACATGAAAAAGAAAAAAAACCTAAAAAAAAAGAAAAAGAAAAAGGTGGCCGTCTGATTGAACTCTGTTCAGTGGGACAGCGAGGCACCGATTCGTTATCCTTCCACCGACGAGAAGAGGGTTGTCGTTGCTCTGCGAAACCAGCCTGACGCGGGGCCCTCCACTCTAAGGACCTTGAAACCCGAGACTTCGCCCGAGTCGCGTGGTCCAACTCCCTACTTAGACTGGGCGAACCAGATCAAGCCTCAACAAACCCTACCCGTTAGAACCGAATCAATGTTCGACCGCCTCCTTGCCCCTGCTTGGGTTATAAGCTCACGCTACCGAGCTCAGTGGTCAGTATTGCATCCCTAGGATTAACAAGAAAGCTATATCTCTTTGGTCTTTCCGATGTGGGATATGGGTGTCATTTTCCAAATCGAGCGAACTTTTACTTGAGAAAAAACATGTCGTTATAATAAGGCCCGGTAGAAGGGCTTCAGCCTTAATTGAGCCACAGCTACTAAAATTAGTTTTACTAGAAAATTAGTCAGGACTCATGCGATGCACGGACTTTATTTATAAACAGAATTAAATATTGAGTTCTATGACATTTTCAATTAAATAGTGTCCATTTAAATTCAATTCAAATACTATTTTGTGGGGTTATGTCTAGTTTATTTGATCACAATCTAAGTTGCACTTTAGTGAGAGTGGCCAATTTCCTATTCTCTAGATAAGTTTGTTTTGTTTTTCGTATCATAATGCTAATTCTTATTAGTTTTTTTAAAAAAATTTGTTGAGTAATTTTTATTGGTTTATTATTATTTTTGTATTATTGTTAAGTAAAATTATAAAAAAAAAATCTCTTATAACAATTCAATAAACCACCTTTGTGTTTTGACCCTAACAAAGGCCCCCCGACAATCTTCTGTAGCTTTGAGAAGAAAAATGCAAATACTTCCTTTCCCTTGGCTCTTTAGTAACAAAGATATTGAAGTTACCAAAATACCCTTATCATTGTTAATGCATTATCATACAAAATTTAAAGTTTCTACTTTACTCTCCACTAATTTATTTTGCTAGACAACTTTCAAAGAATAATTCTTTACCCTTCTTAGACAAATGTGAAAAGGCTAAAGTAAATTAAAATTAATGCATTACATCAAAAGTTTTTATTTGGAATGTTGACTAAAGGAAGGTATTTGCACCTTTTTTCAAAATAATAGGGGAGATTTTTGTAAGGGTCAAAATACTAGGGAGTTTAGTAGGATTGTTAGAAAACCCAAGGAGGTTTTTATAATTTAAATGGAATTTAAATTGACTTTAAAATAATTAAGCTATGTTTAAAACTAATATTTTTTATTAATTTTTGGAATTAGTAAAAATTGAATTTATTTAAGTATATTATTTTTTATTAAATTTAAATTCCTTATGAAATTTAATTAACTATATAAATTTTTATTTTTTAGTGGAACTTAAGTTGGTTTAAATTAATAAAATTTAATTATAAAACCAATAATTGTTAGATAATTTGTATTGGTTTTATATGAATTTTAAATTGATACCCATTTTTAGTTTATCTTCTTTTATTAATTAAATTGTTTTTATTATATTAATTAAATTGTTTTTATTATATTAATAAAAATATTTTTATCAAAACAATAATTAATAATTATTTTTATTTTTCTTTAAGTAACTTAAAAAATTATTTTTATTATGGTCAATTAATATTTATTATTTTCAAATGGAATATTAATGGATTTTAATTAATCTCTACTGATAATTATAGTTTAATGCAAATATATCTAATATATATAATTATAGATAAATTTAAATGGATATATATAAATTTTTATTTTTTAGTGGAACTTAAGTTGGTTTTAAATTAATAAATTTTAATTATAAAACCAATAATTGTTAGATAATTTGTATTGGTTTTATATGAATTTTAAATTGATATCCATTTTTAGTTTATCTTCTTTTATTAATTAAATTGTTTTTATTATATTAATAAAAATATTTTTATCAAAAACAATAATTAATAATTATTTTTATTTTATTTAAGTAACTTAAAATTTTTTTATTATGGTTAATTAATATTTATTATTTTCAAATGTAATATAAATGGATTATAATTACAATTTAATGCAAATATATCTAATATATATAATTATAGTTAAATTTAAATGGATATATATATATAGAGAGAGAGAGAGAGAGTTAATGGTGTTTTAATGAGGAGTGTTAAAAGTCTTAAAGGCGATTAGTCAGTTGAGTTATTTTGTTCAATTTTAAAATTAAAAAGTTCAAAAAACTAGAAAAAGATAGGTGCTTTTGAAAAGAAACTAGAAAAAAGCTAAGTGGCTTTGAGAATAAACCATAGAACAAGAATTTGCCAGCTTGGCACATTTTATTTTAATATATAGATATAGTTTGGCTTCTTAATTCAATGTAAGTGTTTTTGCACTTGATTTGTTTGAGAAGAGTGTAAGTATAATATATTACCTTGTATATGGTCGATTTTGAATTTTTAACCTTGTATTTGTGTTGAACATAATTGTATTTGCACTTTTCTCAAATGGAACCTTTTAAGTTTTTCATCAAATATAGCTTCACTCGTTCACTTTGCCAATGTGCCTTTTGAGTTTAGCTTCTTGGAGTGTATGCAAAAATACTATTTATTCATTATTTCTTCAAATAACACTGTTGAAAATGGAACGCCAAATTTAAAATCAACCTAGAAATGAAAATGATGCCATAGTCAAATAATAAAATTTCTAAAAATAAAAAATGCAAAGAATCACAAAAAAAATAAAGAAACATTTGGACACAAATCTAATGTTACATATTTATAAAAAAAAATAAAGTATGGGTACATATCTAATATTATACATTCATTATATTGAACAAAAAATAAGTATTATACATAAAAAATATTTTTATCATTGATGGAAATGTAATACAAAATTTAATGTCAACATAGAAATCAAACTATTTTTCTTTTTTGGTGGTGGGTTAGTGGTTTGAATCAAATGGATTAGTCAATTATATGATAGGTAAATAGTAAATCTTTAAAAAATAAAAAGGTACAAGTAATCAAAAAAATATATAAAAAAATTATATATTAATTATGTCAAACAAAAATTAAGTATGATAAGTACTAGAAATTATTTATATAATGTAGATGAAATATATTACTTAAAATTAATTTGAAAGCAAAGCTTTTTTTTCTTATTTAGATGGTGGGTCAATGGCCAACTTTTCAAAAAAAAATCATGATGTCATAATTGAATAATAAATATTTAAAAAAAGATAAAACACAAAAATTGAAAAAGTGTAGAATTTTGTCAAAAACATTTGGGAACATTTATAATGTTCTATACTCATCATATTAAATAAGCATAATTGTTAAAATAAAAAATATTTTTATTTATGATAGAAATAGAATACAAAAAGTTAATAATAATAATAATAATAACAATAAGTGTTATTATAATTTAAAATTCCCACATACAATGCACGTGCACATTTACAACAAACATTTAAGTTTAGTTTTAATCATATTGTTACTTTTGTTAATTTTCAATTTCTATCTTAACTATGATGTATCTAAAATTCAAGTAATTAATATGAAGAAAAAATTCTCATGTGCAACGCACATGCTTAATTACTAGTTAATAGAAGGATTTGAACCCTTGTTATTAACATGTAACAACCACAAATGCATCATTAAGCCATGCTATAGTTACTTGTCATAAACATAAACATTTTAGTTCTTAAGTAATTCTTTTATTCTTAAGAGATATTTTTGCAATAAATGCTAAAATTGATTATTAAAATTTATATTCTAAAAAATACTAGTACAAATCATATTGATTTAGGAAAGTTATGATATATAAATGTAAATTTTAGTTTTTCCAGCATTCTTCAATGGTTACCAATTGTGTCCATTGTCTTGATATCTCACAATCTATATAAATCCTTGAAGTATAATTTTTCATGTTTAAATAACTCATTAATAATTATATAAAACTTATATCTATTGTTATTAATATATATATTTTTAGATTTACTTGAGTTTACTAGTGTATCCATGCATATCTTGATTTTTCGTTTGTATCCATGTATATTTAAAGCATATCTCGATATGTCTCTTAAAATTGCTTTATTAATAATTTTGTATTTCCAATACTTTGAACCTTGAGATAAGCCTCTCTGTAGGTAGATATGAAACAATACAGGCACAAATGGTTTCTTAACTTTACTCACCACTAACACTGTTAAACCTCTAGGATCTTTTGAACAAAATGACACTAGTTCAACTTGCTCTCTCAAAAAAAAAAAAAATAACAATTATATACAATATATACAAAGAATGTACATGTTGTTTTTCACAATCCTTGATTCAAATATCTTGCCTTTTCTTTTGCGCTTTGAACCAACTTAAACTATTCTACTTAATTATAGAGAACTTGAAAGCAAATGATCACTTTTTAGTCATTGGAAGCATCTTTCCTTCTTTAGTAATGATTCAAATTTCTCCCAACATGTTAAAAGACTTTTCAAAGATGTTAATAGCTGTTACAACTTTCAAATGATACAATTTTTCTTTAGAATAGTTAACTATTAATTTTGTTAGTTGACCACTTGATTAAGGGAGAAATCTTTTTTTATCTCCTAGTTATGTGATTCCTTTATATTAATCGACTAGTAATACCTAAGCACAATCTATTTGAGTTAAGTCAACTATGATTTTTTAGGAAGTCGAATAATCTTCTCATATAGGGCATGTATGCTTCAGTTGTTACAGTTCGTCAACTATACTTTTTAGGGTAATTGACTATTCATCACAATCTTGGCATTTCATGCATCGGTTGTTATAGTTAATCGGCTATGCTACTTAGGGTAGTTGACTATGTCTTACAGTTAGAATAAACTTGCTTGATAGACATCCCAATACTTAAAAACCTTGGAGATTTTAATCAAAAGGTTTGGAAATTGTTCCATTAGCTTTCAACAAGTATTTTCCTGATTTTTGTCTCTTGTTTAAGGTCAAGAAAGCCTAGGAACCAAACCCATTAAAATTTGTAGTTTCTAAGGTTGATTGTACTAAATTTAGTCTTGTTGAGTATCTATAAAATCCATCATACAATTGATTACATCAAGGTCCTTAACAAATAAATACAATTTAAGCATTACTTGATGTAGTCTTCTCCTTGGTGAGATGTTGTATCAGGTATTCTTTGAGAAGCTCCAAAGCCACTAAGTCCTTCAATAGCCTTGATGCTTGAATTGCTTGGTGTTTCTTCACCTTGAAAAGATGATAATGGTACTAAAATCT